TGCCTCTGGTCTGCTGGGGACCATCTCCAGCAGACCAGGGACACCGGGAGCAAAGGAGGCGGAGGGGCGCTGGGGTATAAGATGAAACCCTATCTTTTAATTAAAAAGATAGGGGGTCGTCTTATACGCCCAGTCGCCCTATACGCCAGAAAATACGGTACTTTTACAATAGGCAAAAAGATACTAAAACAAATAACTATGCCTTCTGGTCTGCTGGGGACCATCTCCAGCAGACCAGGGACACCGGGAGCAAAGGAGGCGGAGGGGCGCTGGGGTATAAGATGAAACCCTATCTTTTAATTAAAAAGATAGGGGGTCGTCTTATACGCCCAGTCGCCCTATACGCCAGAAAATACGGTACTTTTACAATAGGCAAAAAGATACTAAAACAAATAACTATGCCTTAGCCCGTAAGTCTGACAGTTTAACAGCCTGATCCTACACATACTTGATCCTACATTATCCTGGGAAGTTTCACTGGAGTATCTTGTTATTCTACACACCTTGTACAAGTGCCTACACAATTATGACTTCAGCGCAAAGTGGGTGACAATGCTCTCATTTCAGTTGGCTAGTGTATGTGACTGTATAAGATTCAGTGATGAATCAGACCCAGAGAAAACTAATCTACACTAGCAAAGATGGGTATTTTTTTTAGAGGTAAGAAATATTATTTGAAACACCACTTCAGCTGAGTCCACATCACTTTTCAAAGACCAGCTTTACACTTTTCCAGGGTGTCAATCTCTGGTTATTCATCTTCCGGGGTTCAATTTAGCGAGTCTTGCAAGGACCTGCTAAAAATCAACCCCGGTATTCCACAGGTTCATGAGGAGTAAGGGAAAATTGACGGAAGAATTTCTCCCACCAACCTCTTGCAGTGGGGATGCTATTCTGCAGAAATTCATCTTAAGGTACAAGCCACTCCAGCTACGCCATTCACGTAGCTGGAGTTGTGCATCTTAAGTTGACTTTCCCACACGGTGTAGACCTGGCCAAATAGTATTAGTTAGCTGTGCTCTACAGGAAGGGGAGCATACTTGTTTTTTCCTCTTCTATCCTGTCTCTTAACTTAGCTAGAGGGGATGATTTAGAGGCCCAAGTCTCATACTTGAAATACCTACACTCCCAGTTCAGCAGAAGTGACTCAGCCACTCTGTGGTTCACAGAGCTGGATTAACTGAACTCTATTCAGACTAGGCATGTAAAAATGTGTTTAAAAGCAACCATGCAACTGCTAAAAATCTCAGCAGTTACACACACTGCATGCTCTGTCGTATAACGCTTAAATAATCGTTATACTGCAGAGCCCACAACAAAGCCTCTCCAGGAGCAGCAGTCCCTGCCAGCCCCATTCCTGGGGAGCCACGGTCTAACCTATGGCTGAGAGGTGGGGGAAGAGCAGGAGGGCCTGTTATGGACTGGGGCTGCTCCAGCCCCTACAGGTTAACCTTTTACATCCCTAATGCAGACTCTCTCTCAAAGTGAGGGTCTGTCTGCCACCTATATTGGTTTGAGTACTGAGCCATTATGTTCCTAAAGTACATTCCCAGTTAAAACCAGATTCACACTTCATACGTCTAACTTCACATAAAAGAATGACACGTGCACAAAAACAGGATACGCATTGAAAAGCGCTTGGGTTTTTCATGACAGAGTGGCTGTCCTAGTGTTCCTTGCAGAAACTCCAGGGAGTGTGGTGGAAACATTTAAGCAAGAGTGGTGGAAACATTTAAGCAATCTCCTGTGTGTAGGACTACAAGGCATTAGTCATGCTAAGTCACCAACTGTCTTCTGCACCCCAGCTCACCAATTCCCTTTCTAGGCTTTGTTCTATCTTAATTCATTTCCCCTCCATCTGGCTCTGTGCCTCTTGGTAAGTGCCACCTCCCTGTTCCTTCCTATAGGATACTAATCCCCTGCCTTCCTTCAGCATGAGGGGTCCACTCTTGGGATTTCTGCACCCTTGTGAATGTTCTTACACTAGCTCCTACCAGCTCTTCCTGCGCTTGGATCCTAATGATGGGGCACTGCCTGACTGACCGAAACAGGCCCCTATCAATTCTCCAGCTTCCCGGGTCTCCAAGTAGAGGAGTGGATTATCCCCCAATTTGGGAGCTTGCAGGGGGACCCTCCCATACAGCCGTGGTCTCAAAAAGTTTAAGAAACTCTGAACACCAAACAATTTTTTTTTATGCGGAACACCTATGAAAATTCTCAAAAAAAAAAAGATTGTCATCAGACAAAAAAAGACAAACACAAAGAAGAGGTCGCGGCACACCTGAAAGTGGTTCACAGAACACCAGTGTTCCACGGAACATATTTTAAGAAACACTGCCATAGAGCACTTAGTAGGGGTGATATAGGCTAGACTAACCAGGACTTTAACTACCCTTCTGGCTTATCCCATTTTTTACTGTCTTGTTACTCCTTTCCCTGGCTCCTCTCCCACACCACAACTTGTTTCAGCGTTTTCCCTTTGCTCTCCACCCTGTACTCCTTTGCCCTAAATACCTATGTCAGGAGTTGGCTCCTCTTCACTCAGAGTGGGGAGTCTATTTTTTACTCTCTGCAAATCAGTCCAGCTGCGTACCACAGGAAGCAGAGGGGTGGGAGGAAAGATTGGTGGCACCGCAGCAGGGTTCCCTGTCAACTGTGCGCTTGGGTAGCCCCACAGGAGGGACTCAAATGCTGCCCAGCTGATTAGCAGAGTACCCACACCTGGGCTTTTTGTTTCTACTGGTGGTGCCCATAAAACCCTTTCCATCCATGTGTGGAATGAAGAAGAGGGAACACTGCACAGCACTAAGCCTTCACAAGCAGGGATCTCTGCTCTCTTGAGCTGCATGATTCGTTGGCTTCCCACCTGTTAGCCAGGCCCCATGCCTCCTCCATACAAGCATGTATACAGGCAGCAATAGCTCGGAACAGCAAGCCAGACCCCACTCCTCTTCCTATCCTTACTCGCCCGGAGCAACTCTGGATCAGCAGCTTCCCCCCTCCCCTGCCCTCCCCACTGCATATCCCAGCACCCTTCTGATATTAGCCTGCATGCCCAGGCAACTCAGCCTCCCCAGCGATGCCTCGACACGAGCAGGATCAGCAGGGAGAAGATCTGCACCTCCAGGGTAGACACACCCTTTGCCATTGTCCTGTCCACCCACCTGAGACCTTCTCCTCTTTGCATCAGAGCTCCTCCTTCTCTAATGCTTTGGCCTCTTTCTTAGAGCTACCTACTGTTGAAACGGCCATTCACATTTCCCCATGGCTACCATTCCTGCCAAGTCAATGTAATCATTCCACTTGTTCCTGTCCTTCAGTCTCCACCCTGCAGGCACCCACCCCCATCTTTGACCATGTTGCATTGCCTAACAGGGCTTTCAAGGGCAAGTGGAAGGAGTTATCCCAATTAGAGTGTGTAGGAGCAAGTTCTTAGTGGTTTTAAATAGGTGCAGCTGGATGTCACATTATAAAGCCAACCTGCCCTGCATTTAACACCTCATTTACATAAACTAATTATGGGATACTTCCAGCCCACTCAATTAGCCTCATTAGCAATGAGGCCACAATTGACAGGTATTTCTCCCTCTCCCCTTCTTTTTCTGTTATAAATTCTGGGTTCCTGTTATTTCCACTCAGCACATCTGAAGAAGTGGGTTGTGCCCAGGAAAGCTCATACCATCTACATTTTTTTTAGTCTTTAAAGTGCTACCAGACTATTAGTTGTTTAAGTTTATCCTGTACAGACAAACTCGGCTACCCCCTGAAGCTTTTGTACATATATTTGTTAGTCTCTAAGCTACCACAGGACAACTTCTTTTTAAATAGGTGAAGTACTTGTGACAAACTGTTTTACCCATTTACATAGCAGGACAGTTGGCTTTGTTTATAATCATTAATGTTTACAAGAAAAAAAGAAACCTAACCTACACAGTATCCCACTAAACCCAAAGCAAACAAAACTAACCACATGATCTTGTAGTAACCTTTGTCTGTTTCCCCCAAAATCCACACCCTTTTGTGATCACTTGCCATGTGATAGAACTTCTGATTAAATTCTGGGTTAGGTCAGGGACATTAGAACAATTAATTGACAAAGTACTGTGCAAGTCACAGGATTTTGTATAAAAACTACCTTCTGTATAAAAAAAAAGTCACAGATTGCTTCATCTAGGGTTATGCCACTTAGTTATAGTTAAAGAGACTCCAAACACTGTAAAATGCTACACTAAGCAGTTTTGATAGGATGATGCCTATGAAAGAGTGCCTGGCTAAGCCGATAATGTACAATGAAAATGCCCAATACGAACTTTCTGAAAAGTACTGCAGGACCCACAGAATGAGAACAAAAAGCTCATTTACAAAGAGTGTAAAACAATTCGCAGCCACTGCTTCAATACTGCCAATAAGTCAATATATCGGGATTTTATTGCATACCCAACTTAAAGGCTAAAAGGCCAGTCTAAACAGATCAACTACAAATAAAAAAAAAGGCTCAGGGAGTATTTGGGTAAAAAGGATGGAGGAAAAACAGAAGAGACTTATTCTTTATACTTCCATCTAATGCTAACCATCAGCAGCTCATTTTGCAGCCACGTCAGGGTATTACAATGAACTGGAATAGTCACAGGAGTATATAGGATCTACATATGGAGCACAGACCACTACAGTAGGGAGCCAATTATTGCTGTTGTGATGTGCAAGTCCCTGGTGGAAAGCAAGCCAGTTTCTCAACACTAAGGTGCCTAAGGCACTGACAGTCTTGTTATCTGCTTGTATCCAGCTCCTCTACAGATCTTTCTCCAGATCAAATGCTAGCAGTAAGTGTGGAATCAAACAATGATTTTTCAAGCCCTGAATCAAACTCACCTAAGAATGAGCTCAGGAAAAAAAAAAAAAAAAAAAAACCTACACAGAAGAGACTAGAGAGAAGTCAGTGCTCCCAGGAGGTAAAGCAGTTCAGGGATTTGAGGCACAGCAAACAAAAGTCATCACATGACACACTTCTACTGGGCATCCCGCACCATCTGGGAGTCACCATGTTTTAGGCCTGATGATGGGTAAACCCAGCCCAACAGCAAACTGAGTCAAAGATGGGATGCGCTAAAAATACAGTGGAATAACTAGAGACGGCGCTTAATTTGTAACGAAATTACAAAGGCTCAAGCTACATCGATAGATCAACTTTCCTAATACACACAGCAAGCCCAGAAGTGGTGGGACCATGAACCGCCAAGCCTAGGAGGTGGCCAAAGCTCAGCCCCGGAAAAAATGAAGCCCGGACTTGGATAGCAGCCTTTCAAACAGGGCACACCCATGAGCGGCTGGCACTCGAGTGGCTGTAACTTTCCTTCCCAAAGCTGGACAAGAAACGAAACGTGCCCACCCCTCTTGCGCAGCTCAGGCCCGGAATCCCAGGGCCAGCTGGGCTGTTTCCCCCAACACTCCCCGGCGTGTGCCAGACGCAGGCTCAGTTACCGGAGGCCGAGCCCCGCGCAATGACCAGCGGGCAGACCGCAGGACGCGCAGAGAGAGCAGAGAAAAGCGCCTGTTCCTACCAGCTCCTGGGCCTGAAGAGAGCGGAAATCCTGCTCTGCAGCTGGGACACGCCTGCCCTGGCTGCCAGTCCCCTCCTCCCGCCGGCGAGCGCGGCCAGTCACTGGCAGGGCGCAGTCAAGTGCTCCGCGGAGCCGCTCCCCGGCAGGGCGCAGCGAGTCCTGGCGGCAGCGCTGTAGCGGGGCCTGCCGCGGCGCGCCCCTGACTCCTATTAGCCAGCGGGCCCGTTCCAAGGCGGCGCGCACTGGGCTGGCTGACGCACGGGGATTTGCACCATGACACACTCTTAAAGGCACAGGCGCTTCAGGGGGTAGCCGAGTTAGTCTGTTACCAAAAAAAAACAAAAAAGGCAGCTCTGGTAGCACTTTATAGACTAAGGAAACATGCAGATGGGATCCTGAGCTCTGGGCGTGTCTGCCCCCTCCGGCCCCTGTGGGTCTCCTGGTCCTTTCTGAGCATCTCCTTCCAGCTCCTGGAACCCAGAGGCAAAGCTCACTCGAAGTTTCAATCCCCCTGGCTCCCTCCCTCATCCTTCAAGGGCAGCCACTTGCAGTTTCCAGTAAAGGAGCTGGATCTCTCGCCCTCCCTGATTGGGCGGGGAGCAGTTAGGGCTGCACAGACCTGTGGCCTTTTAATCACCACCTGAGCCCTGGGGCAGGAGGTTCCCGAGGGCTCTGAGGACTGGCTAGGAGGAGGGGGCACAGTCCAGGCAGCTGACAAAAAGAACTGGGAAACTAGAATCATAGACTCCTTGGCTACGTCTAGACGGGCATGATTTTCCGGAAATGCTTTTAACGGAAAAGTTTTCCGTTAGAAGCATTTTCGGAACAGAGCGTCTAGATTGGCATGGACGCTTTTCCGCAAAAGCACTTTTTGCGGAAAAGCGTCCGTGGCCAATCTAGACGCACTTTTGCGCAAAAAAACCCCAATCGCCAATTTCGCGATCGGGGCTTTTTTGCGGAAAACAAATCTCAGCTGTCTACACTGGCCCTTTTGCGCAAAAGTTTTGCGCAAAAAGGACTTTTGCCCAAATGGAAGCAGCATAGTATTTCCACAAAAAACACTGATTTCTTACAGTAAGAAGTCAGTGCTTTTGCGGAAATTCAAGTGGCCAGTGTAGACAGCTGGCAAGTTTTTCCGGAAAAGCGGCTGATTTTCTGGAAAAACTGGCCAGTCTAGACACAGCACTTGGGATGGAAGAGACCTCTGGAAGTCATCGAGTCCAACCCCCCTGCCCAAACCAGGACCAATCCCACCTAAATCATCCCAGCCAGGGCTTTGTCAAGCCAAGCCTTAAAAACCTTTCATTCCAGTGCTTCACCACCCTCTTAATTAAATAGTTTTTCCCAATATCCAACCTAGACCTTCCCCATTACAACCTGAGACCATTGCTCCTTGAAACCAGGCCCAGCACAGCTGTCCCAGAGAGTCTGTCTGCCCCCGGCACTCTGATCTGCATTATGCCAACCCCAGCAACCCAGTCTGCCTGACATGAGCACCCGGCTATGCTTCACTGTCTCTCCAAGGCTACCCGACAACCAGTGTGTTGCCTACAATTGCAAGTTATCACTTCTAAAAAAGCAGCTTTATTCTTTAGGTTAAAAAAGTATTACGGGCAAAACATAAAGACAATAAAGAGATTTAAACCCCCACTAAACATACCGGTCCAACATCCCCTTCAACCCTTCAGCAAGGGCCTCACATCAGTTCAAGCTTACCCTTATATACCAAAAGCCCTTTCTTTGTTTCCTAGTCTTTGGAAAACACTGAAGGAGCCAATATGTGCAGGCCGCCCCATGAGGTGTGGTGCTTCTGAGTTGTTTACAATCCCACACTATTTAATTTCTGTAGGAAATGTGGTAAGCCTCCCCCCTAGGAGTCAAACACAATGGCATGCAACCCATTTATAAATTGAAAATACTGCCCAGGGGTTGCAATATCTGTCACAGCCTTAATTATAACCTTTGCTTTGTCTTCCCTGTTATCACTTACAATGTTAGGTCTAAACATAGGCTCTGACTCTGCAATGAGCAGGCAGCCCCCTGCACTGTCTGCACCCATTCTATGTTCTATGCAGTGCACAGTACAAGATTGGGGGGTCTCAGAGTGTAAGTTCTTTGGAGTGGGGACTGTCTCTCCTCCAGTCTTAAAGAGCTTTGGAACTCTATACTAACAAGAATAATCAACCTGCTATCGCTCTCCCTCTCTCTACATTTTATTAATGAGCTATAAAGTAACTCAGTCCAAAATAAACACTGTTCCCATCTTCCCCAGCGATCAGCTGCCCAAAGCAGGGGGCTGGAGCAGTAGGATGGTGATGGGAACAGAGCTGACAAAGTGAGGATGGGGAACAATAAAAGAAGAAGGCGTAAAGGAGTCGCCTATTTGGTGTCCGGGAAGTAGGCAGGCGCCAGCCCGCTCACATCTAAAGGACCTCCCCCCAGCCTATGGGGAGGGTCCACAGAGCCCAGAAAAACCAAGTAATTACTTGGGACAAATAAAGAGAAAACAGGGATGGGTGTGAGGGTCAAAGGGCTAAAAAGAGGGAACTGGACGGGAACACTGAGCAGAGAACCCCGGACAGCACCCACTGCCCCTCGAAGGTCTCGAGAGAGCCAGCGGATGCTGCCCAGTGGAAGTCTGCCCGGATACGTAAGCAGATGCAGGAACGGAAATAGGCCTCACGATTGCAGGCCCCTCCCCGGCCAACCTCTGCTCCCTGGTTTTGTAAATTGCCAGTCTGGCCATAGCCAGGAGAAGGTTGACCAGGAGATCCCACGACTTTGTTGGGCCATGGATGGGATGTGTGTAAATTAACAGGTGAGGGGAGAAGTGCAGCCAGAACCTCAACACGAGGTTCTGGAGGAGTCGAAAGAGGGGCTGTAGCCTGGCATACTCGAGGTAGATGTGCGCCAGGGTCTCACTTATGCTACAGACGGGGCAAGTGTTGGGAACAGGGGTGAACTGCGCCAAGTACACGCCCATGCTCACAGCTCCGTGCAGGATTCTCCAGCTGATGTCCCCGGTGGACTGTGGAAACAAGGTCAAATAGAGACTGGCCCACCGGGGCTCCCCACCCTCTATTGGTGGTAGAAGGTCCCACCACTTGGTGTCTGGGCAGGACACGAGGGTAGGGAAGCGCAGCATGTGATGCACGAGCGTGTACAGGTGACTCTTTGGCGCAGTTCGGAAGGGGACCGGCTGCAATACGTGCAGCCGGCTCGGGTGACATGGGGGAGGTACGCGGGACTGGGGGCTGAGATCAGGCCGAGATCAGGAGGTCCCGGGTTAAAGGAGTGGCCGATAGGTAGATCAACTGAGGGACAACACAATTTCCCTTGCTAAATGTAATATCTGTCTGGAGAGGCTAGAAAGAAAAAAAGCATTTGTCTCCCAAATTGAAATGACTTCTATTTAAGCTCTGGTGCAAAGGACAAAAGGGCACATTTTGTTGAGTGTGTGGTTGGGAGACTGTGGGTGGAGATGGGGAGAGAGAGTCCTAATGAAGCATGAGCCACTGGTGCAAAACCTGGCCCAGATCCTGGGAGTTAAAGGCATAAGTACCTTTAAGGATTTGGAATGGCATTATTAGGTCTTTTCACCTTGAAGAAAAATAAATCGCCCTTCCCTACCTAGCTTCAGTATCCAAATGCTACCAAGGAGAAAAATGGAGTGTTTTCCTGTGGGAGGAAGCATGGAAGCTAGGAGAGAAATCTGTTGAGGGAGGACACAGAATTACTGGGGAACTAAGGCAGCAGTGTGAAGGAAAATCCTTTATGGAGAAAAGGTATGTGATATTTTGGGTTGGATGGGACCTCTGTCAGCCCTAGCTACCATTGCGGAGAATGTGTTTGAATTGGTTAAAAATATTAATTTTCATAGGCTTAGAAATGTCCAGCTCTCAGGAAGTCAATAAGGTCTCATGTCTCCATGTGCGTGTCTATCTCCATCTCTTTTCTAAACCTCACCAGGCAACAGCTTTTCTCCCAGAGCCTGTACTCTAATCTCTTGCTCCTTCTGCTAGTGAAATGCCATAAAAGAGGTTCAGCTTAATTAAACTGTATGTCCTAAGGCTGAGAAATCTCTGCTCTCAGCCATTGCACATGTAAAAGGAGCTCTGAGAGTCAAAAGCTTCGGGATAGGCTAGTGAAAAGTTGCCGTGTTTGCTGTCATGGTGATTATTTTGGAAGCAGGTGCGGCCATTGCTGGGCTTTCCCAGAGGCTAAATACCAACCCAAAACATAGACAGGAGAAAGTGGAAGGCTTCCCCATCTTATTATTACATGTACTACATTCATGTGAGTCACTGGATTATATGCATCACCTCTCGAAACTGCTTCCTCACTCAGTTGCTAGCCACTCCCTTTCTTTGTCCTTATGTTTGTATCTAAACACTTAAATCCCTTGGGAAAGCCTTCCCTCCCAACTTTCCAGAGATGGAGCATGGAAAAGCCCATGGTTTTAAACTGCAGCTATAAATATTTTATTAGACTAAACCCAATGAATAGGAAGTGAATCCCACCTCCAGTTTTTTATTTTTTAAATGTAAGATTCCCTCTTCTTAATTCAAATGATGACTCTCTGATTAATTAAACCAGCCATTCCCCCACAGATTAGCCTCTGCAGCTCCCATCGCCCCAATACTTGTCTGGCTGTTCACTGATCTCTGAAAAAGGAATCTGTGGGAGACAGCAGTTAGCTACTTCCTGCCTTGGTTTCTATGGAACCACTGATTGTTTGGAAACAGATTTTGCTGTTCTACACATAATGCCTGCTAGAAAGAGAGACACATTTTTGATCATTTTCTGCCCTCCTGTGTATTTTATTGGTGATTCACCTTTTTTCCATTGTATCTGGATTCTTTTAGGCTCGAGAAAGTCCATCAGAAAAATATTACCTGTATTTCTTATGCAATCCCTTTACTGGTTGGCTAATAGTTGCCAACCAATCAGGTTATACTGATCTGCATAATTACTGTATTTTCTCTGAATTAATAACTATACTGCAAATATGTTTCCTATAAATCCCACCATTCTAATTTGTTACTGCCCTCAGACCTTCCTTATCTATATTCCCCAAACAAACATGAGCACCCCCTATTTCTCAATCCTATCCTTCTTCTCCCCTGACCTCCTAGTATCTCCCTGTAATAATGTGGGGAGCCTACATATATCTCATG